CCCAACACTGGAAGTCTTTAAGAAGATGTTGGATAGCCATTTGTCTGAAACCGTATAGGGTTTCCTGCCTAGGCAGGGGGTTGGACTAGAAGACCTCCAAGGTCCCTTCCAACTCTGCTATTGTATTTTGTACTTTTTTGTATTATTCTTAGGCTCAGGGAAATCCATCACAAACAACCTCCACCATCCCTTGGATCATGTTGGGGTGGAGGACTGTCTATTGAAGCAGGATAACTTCACTTACTTTAGCAGGGAGCTTCTGCCATTTCACAGATGAATAGTAACACCAGTGCTTGATATTCTGAGTAGGGAAGGATTGACCAATAAAATTGGCCAGAGTTTGGAGGTACTTTTCAGGTTCTCAATTAGAATTGTTGCATATAATAAGTGTGCCCTTTAATTGAAAATGCAGCTCTTGAAAATGCAGATTGTTTCAGCCAAGGGGGTTACTTACTTAGCTTACAGGAGGTGGTGAAGAGAGGAGTTAGCATTTGTTTCACCTGTTGCAATAGAAGGAAAGCCCCCATTCTGAAGAATTTGCACTGAAAGGAAATTCCCACCTATGGAAATCCACCCAGAGTAAAATGTTTGCTTTGAAAGAAAATGTGTCCATAGCTTTACTGAATAAAGGTTCAAAGTTTATTTACTTGAGGAAATATAAGAGAGAACTAAAGTAAAAGCAAACACAGATATACAAAACCAGTTACAAAACCAGATACAAACATAAGACCTGAATAGAAAGAGAACCCAGTTTTTCAGCAGCAATTAATGTTGTCATCCAAAGATTTCCAGACTGATATAACAGAGTCATGAAGACAGGCTTTATATCACTTCCCAGCAATAGCTGGGAAAAGTCACACAACGTTGGGAACAGCAAGAGAAACATGAATACAAAATACATGACTGTCGAAGGAAAAAAAATCAAGGAATATTCATGCAATTGGGGAAACCATTAGGCCATTTTTTTCCCTTTGGCACAGAGAACTTAAACTATTAACATCTTCAGATGCAAAGATGGTGGGATTGCTGTGGACACCTAATCTTACTTTTGAGGACCTAAATCTTGCAATGCCAACAACAACTTTTGCAGAGTCAATCTGATGAGTATATGGAATGTGGAATCTTCCCTTAGAGATACTGTTTGTAGTTTGTGGACATTCCTATGGTAGATTGAACCATAAACCCAGACTGAGAGATTTTGGCAATGTTCAGTAATGCACACCCAAGGTAGGAGGGTAATTTGCCCTTTTCTAGGAATACTGAATTTGGTTACAGTGTTACTTGTTTAGGAGACAACCACTACGCCTTATAATTTTTCCTATGTATCTTTCAGTTTCAAATAGTTCAGAATGCAGGAGCAAAACTCAATTTTAACTAATGACTTTTAAAATATTTTCCTATTTTTATATGAAAAGTTAAAATAGCATTTGATTTTTAAAAAGTTGCTACGTAAAAAAATCAAAGTATACTTTATATTTCAATGAATTTTTTTTCAAAGATACAGTTGTTACCAAAATGTCATCTAAGATTCAAAAGCAAAACTGGCATATCTTTCAATTCTAACAGAAGGCTTTATTTGTTTCAGACTTTAAATATTTGCACATATTGCATACAATCATATTTATATTGCTGAATTAGGGAGTTTTCACTTTTAAAAAATTGCAAACAAAGCTCTTAATTGTTAACATTAATAGGAAGAAGATAAAAAAGGTCTTTCCAAAGAAAAAATGACTTGTTCCTAATAATCTGTCTGATACAAACAATTCAGAATTATATAACTTAAAGATAGCTATATTTCCTAGGGAATTACCATTTTCTTCATTCAAAAGAAATTGGAATTACTGTAAAATGTATACAAATGAAAGTAAAACTGACAGATTGGTCCATTCCTACTGTATTTTATTCGGTAGAATTAGTGTGACTAGTAATCAATTTTGTTATTAATTATTAAATCCAACATTCTCAAAGTGACATAACAAAAATATTGTAACAAAAATAATAAGCAATAATAAAAGCAATATTTCTATATAATTGTAGGTGTTTTTGGTTTTTTTCTTTAAATACACTTTTTTGTAGATTTCAGAAAAATTAAGAAAATGTGCTTCTTATTATTTCACCAAAAAAGGAGTCTTTAAACTGAATAGGATTTTACTTATCTGAGATATGGAACATTTGTCCTCTTATCAAAATTGTTGCTTCAGTTTCTGGTACTATATTATGCTCTGATTGCTGTTCAAGGGGTTTATACTGTTGTTCTAAATTTGAATTTGTCATATTTTGTCATATTGTCATATTTTTCTGCTGTTGCAATATAAAAAATTCATAAGATCAGAGGAGTCCTTCAAGTCACTCTTGAAATCTGCATTCAGTTCTTCCTCCCGTATTGATGGTTTATGTTACTTAAAAAAAAAAAGATAAGCATTCCAAAAGTATGAAAAAGGAAACACTTCTAAAATTATTTATTATTAATACTTTTATATCATGTAATTACTTCCAATCCAGATATATTTATATATGTATACCAGTTGTTACATAAATGTTAGGTATAGATCCTTAACACTAACATAAAACTATCTCAGGTTTATAAAATATTATTTAGCAATTATAGCCATTAAAGAGAACAAATTAGGATATTGTTTGATATATCTGGAATTCATTTTGAAGTATGCCCATGTATTTTTAAGAGTCGCAAATATCAGCATTTGAAAGCTTAGTTATAGATATGAATGCCAGGATGGGAACTGATTGTCTCATTGTTTAAAACCAGTTACCAAGCTCGGAGGACCAAATGTATAGTTACTAGGATGTTGGGCAAGAGGTCATGAATTAGCAGAGTAAATGTCCTTTAATTTCTCTCAAAAAAGAACATGAACTTATTATCCACTTTCTTAAGCACTTACATTTTATTGTAACAGAAGATGGGTCAAGTATTATATCTGTACATTCAGGTATATCCAAGTCAGAGATGTTTTGCTTGTCATATATATTTTGTCTTAAAATATTCATTACAAACTCTTTACTCATTCTATACTTCATGAAGTCAGCACTCTCAGGTGGCACCAAAAATTGCAAGTTGTATGATGCTGTATTGTTTTCTCTACTGAAGGAATAATAGGAAGTGAGAATGAAATGCCAAATGGTTAGAAAACAATGGAAGAGAATACTTGTAGCTCAGGTTTGAAGTATGGGGTTCTTAGTCTCCTCCGAACTTGGTTGTTTTCTTGCAAACGTTTCATTACCAAGCTAGGCAATTTCAGCATAATGATGTTACCTCATTTGGTAATGAAATGTCTCATGCTGCTTAGTTTGGTAATGAAACACCTGCAAAAAAAACAAGCAATCTCAGACATCACCAAGGACCACAGAATTATAAAACAATTCCACCATAATGTTTCTAAGGTTTTCACTTACCATGTTTTAAGTGTTTTAAAAAAATATGTTGCTATATGTCCCACTAGGTAACATAGACTAAGAATCAATGTCACAGGGAAGCTAAGACTATTTTAATTGACAGTGGCTATAATAACAGAATATCACAAGTCTGATTGTGTCATGCTCCCTCCCCTTCTTTATATGTGTAAATTAGGGAGATGTCTCAGCCACTTACTTTTGCTTACTGCTTGGTTTTGGCTTAAAATATGTTCTTCTTTCACCACTTAACTAATGGATTTGGTTTATGTCTGTCAAAGTCATTTTCCTTACGCTCCACATCTGGTGCTACTGTTACCAATGTACAGTATGTCTCTGGAAAATGGACGCATTTCATTTATACAAGATGTGAAATTTGATCTCAGAAACTTCAAACAGCCTGATTCTTACAGTAGCTTCCAATAACAATTATTTTTAACACCAAAACTCAACATTTTTGTTTACTGGAGCATGGTCAAAAGGAGGTCTAGTAGGGTAGGCCTGCAACAGTGGTGGGTTCTGGATCCCGTTGCAACTGCAATGCTCCAGTTGTTCGGCGGATCGTAGCACAGGCACCTTGTGCGCCATGCGTGGAAGCGCCGAAGAGCTCAAATACAGGTAAGAAGCTCGGGCGACTGGGTGGGCCCTCTGGAGTTTATACCTGAACGGTACCCAGTGCTCCGGGCAGACACCGCTATACCCATACCGGTGCGTACTGTCTGCAATCTACCACCGGCCTGCAAGTTTGAAGTCTTTCAGATCCAGACCCTCTGACATATTATTTCAGAATCAAAGGGCCTGTAGTTCTGCATGAACCAAAGCATTTTCTCACAATCATGGCTTCAAATAATATCTAATAGGTGCCATATCTGAAACAAATATATGTTGTATTCCTTCTCACTATATAAGTAGGATAGAAATGCTTAAAAACATTGCCTAATTTATTTCTTAAAGGAGCAACTTAGCAGGACGTTGGATTCTTTAAATCTTTTATATTGGAGAAACTTCTTACTTATTCAGATTGTTCAGTTAAAAGGTAAAAAAAGACCAAACAAGTTCAATAACCATAAAAACTGCTGGAGTTCTTTACAATTTATAATATTCATGTAGAATACTATGATTGACTTTAGTCATGAACAGGATACAATTGGGGATAGACTGCATCATTTTAATATATTATGTGTTCTGAAATTATGGTATGGCTGAAATAAAATGCTTATTAGTATAAATAATAAGTGCATTTCAACATACCATAAACTGCATAGACAGTCCTTATTCTTTCATTCCATATTTTCTTTACTTTCCCCAGCCCGCACATAATTACCAAGAGAAAATTCCTAACCCTAAAATTGCATAATTAAACATGTGGGGTTTTGTCACCCTTCCTACCTGAAGGAAATAACTTCAGATGAGATAAAATATCTTCCCAATGCAGGTGAGTAACTGTATACATCCTTAAGCTTGAGAGAGAAAAAACACTAATCATCATCAGTTAGACAATATGGAAGGAATCCTCTCATTTGATTTGCAATTAACTTCTGTCTATGTATATTTTTAATTAATTTGAAAATCTAGTTTTTACTTTTTTATTTACTAGACTAAAACCTGATTTTTCTTTTCTAAGGCAAAAATTCACTTGGCTATTGCATGTGACTCTCCAGCAGAATGCCACAAAAGGATGCTAGGTATTCTTATTAAGAGCTTCAGCTTCTTAATAAGTAAAATGATATTCTCCCTTATATACCATAAGTGTCTTATACTCAAAGGGCAAACATTTCTAACCCAAAAATATTACATTTCTAGCCTACAGATAAGTCTTAGCTGTCTAACAATAGAAAAGAATCTGTTTTAATAGTGAAAGAAAATACTGAAGGGAAGAAAAAAACTACTCTGTATACAGTATCTCTGATGATAAGTCTAGGGAGAGTCCATTCCATCAATGTTTTTACTTTACAACCATCCTAAGGCAGTTCTACAAGGCTAAAAAGAACTTACCCTTTTATTAAGATTTTTAGCAAACACATCATATGCAGACTCTGAGAGATACACATTAGGGTTTGGACATTTAATGTTTACTATTCCAGAGAAATTGTGTTGTTTACCACTTGCAATTAACTCAGGATCCCAATATTCATCTTCATCTATGTGAACCACTAAAATAACAAAAGGGAATAAAAGTAGTTATTATTCAGGCACATAGTCTAAATAAGTCTATAGAAATTCAAGAGTCTTATTTCATCTAGATCAGAAGTCAACATTTTTTTGTAATTGGAATTTGGAGAGCAAGTAAAATTGCCATGTAGAGTACACCTTGCCCATCGTCTAAATAATTAGTAACTGGATGAGAAGCTACTATAGATAATAACTGCTATTGTCTCTTTTCATAGAACCAGGACTTCTAAAACTCTTCCCAGTGCATTCATCAATACTGTCCATGATAGTGGGTTTGGTATTAAAGAGGTTAAACCAAAGTTGGGTTAGACTTTTTAAAAGTCTTCAATGTAACTTAACTTATCTGACTTCAGAATGAATTGAAAGGTATTCCTGGTGTGCTTAGCTGTTTCCCATTACCTTTCCCACTTCCTGTCTTGGAATGATCCTATTTATATTTCCGCTCCTTTTTGCTTGCTACCCCTTCTCATTTGCATATATTTCATAATCTGGGTTCTTGATTTGCATTGGGTTCCCCCACTCAAGATTCCACACATTCTTGGATGTATTTAAGGATTTGAAAACCTTATTCTTGTTCTGTAAAGGTGATTGGTGGAAGTGGTTGTGAACAGATACCAATGATTTTGGGACTTCTATATTGTAAAAATAGTCTGTAAAGCTAGTTTATACATAAGTAGGTTTATGTTTTTATGATTGGACAATATTATTTTATTATAATTTAAAATATATTATTGTATTATGGCTGAGGGAAGGCAACATGGTTGGTCAGTGGTTGAGACACTGGGCTTGTCAGCTGGAAAGACGGCAGCCCAGGTTCAAGACCTGAGTGCCAGGTGACAGAGTAAATTCCTGTTCCTGTCCACCTAGCAGTTCAAAAGCATGCGAGTAGATAAATAAGTACCACTTCAGTGGGAAGATAACAGCACTCAATGAGATGATGCTGGCCACATGACCACGGAAATGTCTCAGAAAGCACTGGCTCAGTGGCCTTGAAACGGAGATAAGACTGCTCTCTATAGCTCGCATACTCTATACTCTGATTAGCAGAGTAAAATGGGAGGGATTCCTTTGCCTTTACTTTATTATGGCTGGACTGTGTTCTGTTGAGGTGGGGGTTTTAAATGAAAAATAGATTTTTAATGAGTAAGAAACTTCTTCTCTTTTCTGGTTTTATCAGTAATGATTTTATCTTATGGGATATATTACAAAATGATGGGAGAGCTGAGAATAGAACGTGATCTCCCAGCAAATAATGAGTAACTTAATAAATTCTTAAAGTAATTGGCAACCATGGCTCAGTTTAATGTTAATAAAAATAGATAGGGTGGTGTTAGACTGCTTTTTCATATATACACGTACACATGAACACACATGCAATATATATTCATTTTAAAATTTGTTTTGCCTTTTAAAACCTCTTTCAAAATAATCATTTTTACTTCAATCTTTGCGCTTTGTGTGTGCTTTTCTCTTTGTTATTGCTTTTATTGTTGTTTTACTTAATTAAGGAAAGTTTGTATTTTATGCTTGGATAATATATGTCACTATTAGAAAAAGAAAATACCTTACAAAGTGTATTCCTTTTTTAATCCCAATGTCCTATGATCATCAGTAAAATTTAATCTTTTGCCAGAGCAGGACACCACAACCAAATTAGGAAAACCATCCCCAAACATATTGATAGGTTATGAGCTATCAGCTTATTCATCTTATTTAAATGATATATCGAAGGGCCTAGAACCATGATGGTGAACCTATGGCACAAGTGTGGCACGCACATGGCATCTCCAGCTGCTCTTCTGGTTTCTGATGTGTCCATGTACACACTTGCTATCTGGTCTTCGGGGTTCTGGCACTCCGGCACATGCAAAGATCAGCTGGCTGGTGCGCATGCGCATGCTGGAAACCAAAGACCAAATGGCCACAAGCACGCGCACACACAGGCGTGCATTCTGGTTTGGGCACTTGGTGCCGAAAAGGTTCACCATCATTGGCCTAGAAGAACCTATAGGTTGGTTCTACCGAAGAACGTTTTTCTCAGCAGACAAACCCCTTTATTTAAACAGCATTTAAACCACTTAACTGTTTCCAAATTCCAAGAACCATTAACTTTAAGATGCTTCAATGTTCTCCTACAGCAATTTTGGATAGCCAATACAAAAAAGTTCCCCATGAATTGAGACTATGCACCTGCAGACAAGGGGCTGATGAAATTACAGTATAGCTCATCTCCTGCTATACTATACCTTCTAGAAGAACTTATAGTATAAATATTTCTATGGTCAAGCATCTAGGGAATTCTGATGTTTTCTATGTAGATCTGCTGTTATCATATCGCTATCATTCAATCTCTTTAAGGGTAGATAGTTTTCTTATATTGCCTGTAAAATTAGGCAAATATTTACTATCCATTAACAAATCCACCACCAATTATATATTTTTTAATGTATTATTAAAGTGTTTACAAACCTGAATACAAAATTAAACTTAAAGCAATCACAAAGATCAACACTAAAAAAACAGATGTTAGAACCATCCAGAGTTTGCATTTCCAAAAAATAATTGAAGAAAGTGGTTTTAAGCTGCTTGTCTCCTAAAGACACAAGGAATTAGAAAACAAAAAAGCATGTTATATTCTTAAGTATAAAACATTCAAACAGACATACTCAATAATCTTGAAGAAACAAAGAAATGTGTCTTTCACTACAGCATTGTTCCACATGTTTGAACACATCTTTGGTGACCGATATGACCTCCAATGTTTTAACCCAAGGTTTTAATCAGCACTTCCTAGTTCCTTAATAAAGGAACCTGGGGTATTTTGATATGCAAAGTAAGCACAGTACTACTCAAGTACATTTTCCCCCCAATAAGGAACATTATGATTTAGGGACTAAGAAAATATATCATATTAAGTCAGATAATTACTCCACTCAGCTCCGTATGATCAAGGATGACTAGAAACAGTTTTTCAGTTTCAACGAACAGAAATGATAACATGCATCAAACAGGATTTGGAAAAAAATTAAAAACAAGACATACAGCTTTATGGAAAACCAGAAGAAAAAGGGAAAAGAGAGAAAATATAATTAAAAATAAAAAAGAGGCATCCCAACTTCAGCTCTAATAAGCCATAGGAATCAAGCTAGACTACTAACTCTCTGAGCGACCTGGCATTGGCTTATCTAATCCAACATTTAATACTAATCCTACTCTAGGCAATTTTCTTTTTACTCCTTGGAAATAAGTAAAAATCAGCAGCAGTCAGTTTGGACAATAAGAGGTGTAATACAAATTAAAAAAATCTTGCAACTTTTTAAAAATTTGTCGGAGGGACTCATACAATTTCATCTTTTTCAGTGAGATAGCTATAAAGGCCCTAAGAATGAGAATGTATTTTATTTCATTAATTTATTTGACACCCCCCCCCCCAATACCTTTATTACTTTATAAGATGATGTACATATCTAATACTCCTTCCGCCTCCTATTTTCCCAACAACTCTGTGAGATGGGTTGGGCTGAGAGAGAGTGAATGGCCCAAAGTCACCCAGCTGGCTTTCAAGCCTGAGGTAGGACTAAAACTCACACCCTGTTTCTTTTTAGGCTGGCACCTGCTTTAGAACCAGGATCACATATTCCTTAAGCTTATGGCTTGAAGCAGCTAAAGAGCCTGAAGTAAAAGTCCTGACTCTTGTCTTGCAGTTTTCTGGTAACTTTGGGCCAGTTGCCCATTCTCAGCCTGCCTACCTTATAGGGTTAGACTTCTAAGATAAAACAAGGGGAAACTGCCTGTGAAGCCTCTTCGAACCTTCAGGAAAAAAGGGGGATAGACATTGAAAATAGTCATCTCATCTTTCTAAGCCTATAACTTAAAATGATTACTATTATGACAGATGTAGGAAAGAACTAGAATAATTGCTTGTCTTCTACTGGAAGATGGAGAGAATCGCTCCGACAGGACCACACAGTCCGACACAGTTAAAATGCCAGAGCTCAGAAAAGCGCCCCTTGTTAACAAAAATGTGCATTGTTTTACTAGCGAAATAAATACACAGCCTCTGATTACAAGTGAAAGAAACGCCTAACATAAGCAGTCACGGTGATAATGTGATAAGCTGCATCGATACCGCACATAGACACGGAGTTGACTCATTCACTTCTTGTTTTACCCCCAGTAGATTTCCTAACTCCTCCCCCCCTCCCCAATTGCATTAGAATTACTGCAAAGTTCCCAGGTTTAATAACTCCGACTAATTTCCTTCTTGCGCTAAACGGGACGCTGATCAAGTGATTCCTGTTTTCACACCCTGGGAACAAAACAAAACATTTCCCGAAACCGAAAGAAGTGAAGCATGCGGTGGCTTACCGCGGCGGCGGCGGCGCGAGGGGCTTCTTCCTGCAGAAGCTCGCTTTCTTCCCCCCTTTCTTCATCTTTTCGCCTTAACTCAATGCCCGGTTGATTTTGCGCGGGAACGAGACCATTCACTGTGCTCATGGCTGACTTAGTTTTTCAAGGGCAAAGGCAACGGGGAAATAACTTGCATTCCCTTTACACGTCCAGACTCGATTGCGCTGATAGAGAAAGTGGAAGACGAAAACAAAAGCAAAGTGTTGGGCTCCAGTGTTGCCATGAATAAGGATGATTTTTATAATAAAACGAATAAAACGAGCCAATGTCTGATAAATGTTTTCCAAGATGCCTGTAAAAAAAAAATATCAATAAGGGAAGAAGGACGCTCTCCTTCTTTCTATCGAGTCCAAAAAACAACCTTTGGTTCCAAAGTTGCGCAAGACTGACTTTTCCGGTTCGACCGCCTTCTATACAGCAGGTACTTTAATCGAAACAAGTCTTTAGTGGAGTGACAAACGAAAAGGTTATGCCTTTGCTAGGCTAAAACAAAATCACTAAAAAGGAATAATTTTAGTATTAGAAATACAAACTTAGAAGCAAAGATCAATGGACTGCAGCCTAAAAGTAGACAAATTCAGGCCCAAAGGCGTTTCCTCCCCTCCCCAAAGTCAACTGGACTTCCCTGATTTTTTCCTTGAAAACGTTTGGCTTCTCATCAAAAAAAGTTTCCTCGGATCTGACTGAATGGTAGGGAAGGAAGAATTAGCTCTCAGAGTGCTAATGACCAGATGATTTCCAATCATCTGGTCATTAACACTCTGAGAATCCTTAGTTGGTTCTATATAAAACCTTCTGTTCCCCACCATTCATCAATTTAATGTGTTCTTTTTCCCCTAACGAGGATATGAAATTCTACACCAACTTTTATTAATTGATTCCGTCCATTTATGTCACACGGTTTCTTAAACTCGATGGCACTTGCTTGCGAAGCCATGCATGAGTTTGGCTAAAGTCCTATGGACAATTACTTGGAAGAAAGTTCATTGGATTTACAATCAATCAGTCAGACCAAAATTATGGGTTTCGTGGGAAGATCTAGTTGTTACAAACATCAATGGCAAAATTGGGAAAAATAAAATTGAATACCATCTATTAAATGTATTGGTGCAATTTTACAAGATTCCAGAGTTCGACGGGAACAAATTAGAGCCATTTCTATCAAAGCTAATAGTGCTAGGCAATTTTTAAAAATCTAAATTGTGGAGATGAGTAGCTACCGCCATGAAGACTTTTAAAGCTAAAACTATATCCCAAATAATGTACTGTGTATCGACTTGGAACTATTTTGATTCAAACTCCTTGGATATTGTTCATTCTTCCTCATTTCAAGTTGTATTTTGAATGCTTTAATCTGCATGGAAACAAGTATGATTCACTGGAAGTGAGTTTCTGTATTTGCTAACCCTCCTTTTACCTTCAGTTTTTGTTTTCCCCTGGTTCATTGGCTCTATCAATTCCCTTTGATGGCTTTGCATTAAGCTGTAAATATCTAAGCAGACCTGTGTTATTACAGCCTTTCTATCAACTTTCTGTTGCCTCTAGGCTCATAGGTTTATAGAAAGAAAAATATGAAATTTGTCAAATCTGTGGTCCACTTTCCAGTCTGAGTTTCAGTTTGGAAACTATTATACACTCAAGGTAGTTAGTTATTCAACCTTACTCCTTCACTACATTGTACAGCTTTATCAGCAATACTTAATAGGAGACGTAATGGAACCAATTCCCTGAGAGATGTTGTCTTTATGGTCAGAATATTTCAAGATTTTTTTGAATATATTTTTCCATTTTATTTATTAAATTTAAATACCAACCATCTTATTACCCAAAGGGACTCTATGTTTTCCTATTGCCTTTTCTATGTCAATTTACATGTAAACATACTGTTACCCCTTCATAACAATACATATATTTATAATTAAGGAAATGTTGTTCTCACAAATTGAAACAAATTGAAAACTATCAAGACCAAGCTATTATTTCCAAATTGGGGTTTGGGATGTTAACTGACATCAGTGGGTTAGTTGCTGAATATTTTTTTAAATAGCTGTAGTACGTTGGTTATTCTTGTCCCCTGTTTTTTTCTTCTCTCTCTCTCTCTCTCTCTCCCTCTCTCTCTCTCTCTCTCTCTCTCTCTCT